ACTTCCACTTTGACCATGGCCTTGTCTAAATATGATCAGAGTCGGTGAACTCAGGGGGCTTCCATAGCCTTGGCAACTCATGACAAGAGCCTAGGGTGATTACTGATGCCATAAACAAGAGTGTCAATTTGTTAAGTCAACAACAGGAGTCACTGTGCACTTACTCCTCATGTAGGATCTTTGTCCTTAGTGTGCTGTACATTGAGATTTAATGCTATAACTAGTACTCAAACAGTATTTTTCACTTTATGTTTCTGTGTGGGAGCAAACTGTTGAAATCTTTACTTAATGTATGCTAAACTGATCTTCTGTATATAAAGAGCATCAAAAATGAATCTTGATGTGAATGGAAGGGGAGAGGGAGTGGAAAAGGGGAGGGTTGCAGGTGGGAGGGACATTATGGGGGGGAAGCCATTGTAATCCATAAGCTGTACTTTGAAAATTTATATTCATTAAATAAAAGTTAAAAAATTATTAAGATAGCCATTTTGATAGTTTTTGTGTGTGTGTGTGTATGTTTTTTTGTTTTGTTTTGTTTTGTTTTGTTTTGTTTTGTTTTTGTTTTTGGTTTTTTTTTTTGGCAGAGGACTGAGTCAATCCTTGGAATGAGTACAGGTTTTATTGTATCAGTAGTCTATGGTGACACACTGTATAGGGCCATCCAATTTCAGTGTAGTTCGGTGTGAAAACTGGCATGTGAGTGCATGGATTATGTAAATGTTGAAGATAAATATGAGGATATGTTCATTGAGTGCTTTTTTCTATTTTAAAAAGGATTTATTTATTTATTTATTTAGAAAGAGTTTCAGAGAGAAAGAGATCGATCGATCTTCCACTTGCTGGTTCACTCCTCCAGATGCTGCAATGGCCAGCACCAGGCCAGCCAAAGCCGGGAGCCAAGAGCTTCATCCAGGTCTCCCACATGGGTGGCAGGGACTCAGGTACTTGGGCCATCCTCTGCTGCTTTCCCAGGCCTTAAGCTGAGAGCAGGATTGGAAGTGGAGCAGCTGGGACAAGAACCAGCCCTGGGGCCAGTGCTGTGGCACAGTGGGTTAACGCCCTGGCCTGAAGCGCCAGCATCCCATCTGGACGCCAATTCTAGTCCCAGCTGCTCCACTTCCCATTCAGCTCCCTGCTATGGCCTGGGAAAGCAATAGAACATGGCCCAAGCCCTTGGCCCCCTGCACCAGCGTGGGAGACCTGGAAGAAGCTCCTGGCTTCAGATCAGCGCAGTTCTGGCCTTTGTGGCCAATTGGGGAGTGAACCATTGGATGGAAGACCTCTCTCTCTCTGCCTCTCCTCTCTCTGTGTAACTTTGACTTTCAAATAAATAAATCTTTATTAAAAAAAATAAAAAGAACCAGCCCTTATATGGGAAGCCTGTATTGCAGGAGGCAACTTTACCCACTATGCCACAATGCCAGCCCCCAGGTGTTTTCTTAAGATGTAGTTCTAACTAGTTTAGTTTATGCTAGACATATATAACTGTATTCTCTGACTTATAACTGCAAGCTATATATGCAGAACTCGTTGCCTTTTTTTTTTTTTTTTTTTTTGACAGGCAGAGTGGACAGTGAGAGAGAGAAAGGTCTTCCTTTGCTGTTTGTTCACCCTCCAATGGCCGCCACGGCCGGCGCACTGCGGCCGGTGCACTGCGCTGATCCGATGGCAGGAGCCTGGTACTTATCCTGGTCTCCCATGGGGTGCAGGGCCCAAGCACCTGGGCCATCCTCCACTGCACTCCCTGGCCACAGCAGAGAGCTGGCCTGGAAGAGGGGCAACCGGGACAGAATCCGGCGCCCCGACCGGGACTAGACCCCGGTGTGCTGGCGCCGCAAGGCGGAGGATTAGCCTATCGAGCCGCGGCGCCAACCAGAACTCGTTGCTTTTTATGATGATGATTCGTTGGCATGCATTCTTGCTCTGTGTTTTAAAGGAGCCATTCCATTTCTGATTTTGACAAATGGATTGAGGTTGATCTCTGTGTTATCTTCCAGTAATATTTATAGACCACAAACTGATAAATGAGTTTGTGTAATGAGTCTTGGTGTGAGCTGTCTGGTACTCTCTGGCCCTCGCATGCCTCTCCTGAGATGTTTTTGCAGAACCCAGTATCTGAGCAGTCCTGAATAGCTGCCTTATCCCTCGGACTTGGTATGTTTAGGACCAAATCTTAAATTAGAAAGAAAAGTTTGTTCCGATCATAAAGGCCAGTTTTGAGTGACTTGCAAATTGCTTTTCTCTCCACTCTTTCACATTGTCTTCTTAGTGAATAAAGAAGAATCACTAAAGGAAGAACATGTTTAAAGGAACGAGATTCCAATTAATGTCCCCAGCAGTAGCTATATACTAAGATGAATAATTCTACTCGTAGGGAAACATAAAGGAAAATCTCCAAGATTAAAGAAAATTGTGGAGTTACAGACCCGCTTACTCAAAACGAACACACACACCCCCCACCCACCCACACACTGACTGTTTCCTTTCCCCCTTCCTACTCCTTTTTGTAAAATATCAGGGGAAATTTTCAGCTTATCAATTGATTGGAAGACATTATCATGCATGTTAAAGAGCATGGATTTTGAGTTAGACCTGGATTCGGTCCCCTGATCCATCCTCTATTGACTGTGTCAACTTAAGGAAGCCACTATACTCTGGTTTCTCTTCAGATTGTATAAATCTTTTGCCTTTTAAGGAAGTGAGTTACTGGATGACTTAAGATTGACTGATATGATCCATATAAGGCCCTTGGTAGAACATTTGGCTCTTGGTAAATACTTAGTAGCTTTCCACTGTTAGTGAGAATCTTCATCACTGTCATTTGTCACCACCACTTCACCATCATGGTCATCATTGCTGCCATCACTACTGTGGTCACTGTCATCTTTGTCACTGTTATCCGAGTCATCGTCGTCGTCATCTCCCTCTCCTGATTTACCATCTGCCCCTCTGTTTACTCCTTAGTTCCCTTGCAGACTCTCTTCCTTTTCCAAACCTTCTGATATTGGGATTCCTGAGGTTTATGTCCTAAACCTCTTTCTCTGCCCTCCATGAGCTGTCTCACCCACGGTGGGAGCTTGTGTATCAGCCATTGCTGATGACTGTCGAGCCTATAACTTTACCCCAGACCTTACACCTTACATCCATTATAGACATCTCCCCACAAATGTCCCACAAGCACCTCAAGCCAAATTCAATGCTGCTTTCTCCTCCTGAACCTTACTTCTTTTCTTTTCTTAAAGAAATAATTGCCTTCCACTCTGTTACCAAAGCAAGAAAACTGGATGTCATCCCTCACTGTACTTTTCCCGCTTCCTTCGGTGTTGTCGATAAATTGTGTGCATGACACCTTCTAGACATTATGTTCCATGTGCATAGTTTCATGTGCCCAGTGCAGTTCTCAGTAAGTAATCACTGAATTAATCAATAAAGGAGTGAACGAAACTCTTGCATACACTCACATCCTTCTATTTTCATTACTTCTTTTGGAGTTCTGGCTGCCGTTGGTGCTCACCAACTTGTTAATTCACAGTTCGTAAATCCCATAGTTGAAATATCCCAACTGATTTTCTTGCCTCTAGGTTGGAGTCCCCATTTCGGTACCACTGGAGGTCACTGTTCACACCACCAGTAGAATGATTTTTATGAAACCCAAGCATTTAATCACGATCATGCCTCCTCCCTGCTTAAAGCCCTTCAGTGATTCTGAGTGGTTGTACTGAATGCTGTCCTGGTTCACAGCTGTTGTCCAAGAGCACTCTCAGAAGTGTCCAGGCTTGGCCAATAATTAACGACCACCCTATACCTAATCTGTGGTTCATGTTCATTTCTAGCCTCATTGCTCCTCATTTCTCCCTCAAGCCTACCTGTGTGAGGAGCTTCTTGGGCTCTTCCTTCTGCCTAGAAGTCTTCTTTTCTCTTTGCCTGGCTTCTTCCCGCCATCCAGGTCTCAGGCTAGACTTATTCTGGACAGGATTCTTCTCTGACTCCTGGTTTATGTAAGCTACCTCTTTGTGTTTCCATATCATCTTGTACTTCTCCACCCTATCTCATGCCTTAGGATTTCATCACTTATTAACATCTGCAAATTCCCCAGTAGCCTCTATGCTCGGTCAGATCAGTGGCCACATCAACTGTAACTGCCCACTTGAATCCTGGTGCCTAACCCAGGGTCATGTACATAGATGGCACTCAACGAATATTTGGTGAAGGAGAGGAGGAAAGCGTGAGAATGGTCATAGGACGGGTACAGGAAATCTTACTCCATAACAGATCATCTGGAACCATGCCTAATGTGCAGCTATGAACAGAAACGTGGTCGTTCTGTCCCTGTTCAGCATGTTTGTGATGGTGGGGGAAATGATTGTGTGTTCCTTTGATTCAAAGTTCATTTTAGGACAGGATTTGGAGTTGGTACACACTGTCAATTCCAGGAAGTCTTGCAGGTGATAATGTTGCAAAACAAAGCAAAGAACAGCTGTTTTTTAGCCTTAGCAAGCATTTAAGGCTACTCTTGTTTCAACCATGGAAGAGGGATTGGTTTTAAAGTTATTTACTTTGAAGTTAAAATTAAATTTATTCTCATTATTCTAACATGTCCTAGGTTAAGTTCCAAATTTTATTCACACTAATAAGAAACATCTCATTGTTCTAATATGAATACTTGTATTATTTGCAAACTTGAAATTGTGTGTTTTTTTGGATAGTAATTTTCATATTGTAATTTGAGCTGCCAAAGAATCCTGACATTATAGCATTTTGTTCTACCTATATTGACTAGAAAGGACTTCGGGACCTAAGTATTAAACATTTTAGGAAATGTGTTTCTGGGCTTATTTTCTGCAGACATTGGCATTTCAATAGGTTTTTAAAATGAAAATAGTGTTTTCCACATGTAGGGCTTAAATTGTGCTTTCCTCTTTACAAACTTCAACTTTCAGGGAAGAAAAATGAGTAAAATAGACTTAAAAACTCTTGTTTTTTTCTTTTTATCTCCACAGCTTTTGGAAAGAACCAACAGTGGTTTTGAGGAATCAGATTCCGGTGCTACCAAGAGTCCGCTCCACTTAGCAGTAAGTGAGATGCTATTGCCCCTTCGCTTGTGACAAATAGAATGTAAATATTCATAAAACTAGGCTGTTCTTAAGCACAGTAAGGCAGTAATGAGTGATAATGAAAGTAGTACAAGGTCAAAGGCACAGGCTGCAGAGAGAAACACTGCCTCTCTTTCCAACCCCAGCTTCACCTGCGGATAACCTTACACACTTTACTTTCCTTGTCTGATTTTGTTAAGATTTATTTATTCATTCATTCATTCATTCATTCGTTTATTTATTTATTAGGCAGAGTTACAGAGAGAGACAAGGAGAGAGAGAGAGAGAGAGAGAGAGAGCGAGAGCGAGCTATCTTCCATTCGCTGGTTCACTCCCTAAATGGCCACAACGGCCAGGACTGGGCCAGGCTGAAACCAGGAGCCTGGAACTCCATCCAGTCTCCCACCTGGGTGTGGGGGCCCAAGGACTTGTGTTAACTTCCACTGCTTTCCCAGGTGCATCAGCAGGGAGCTGGACTGGAAGTGGAGCAGCTGGGGCTCGAAGTGGTGCCTGTATGGGATAGGCATCACAGGCAGCAGCTTAACCTACTGCACTACACACTGGACTCTCCTTGCCCTGTCTTGAACCTTAGTTTCCTCATCTGCAAAATGAGGGCTGATGAAAGATAATGGGGCTGGCGTTATGATGCAGCAGGTTAAGCCACTGCCTACAACACTGGCATCCCACATCAGAACAGTCCTGGCTGTTCTGCTTTCAATCCAGCTGCCTATTAATGCATGTGGAAAGGCAGTGGAAGATAGCGCAAGTGCCTGCGCCACTACCACCGTCATAGGAGACCAGTTCCTGTTCCTGGCTTTAGCCTGATGCTGCCCTGACTTTGCAGCCATTTGGGGGAGTGAACCAGCAGATGGAAGATCTCTCTCTCTCTCTCTCACTCACTCTCACTCTTACTTTCACTCTGCCTTTCAAATAAATAAAATACAACCTTAAGAAGGAAAAGAGATCATGTAAATAAGTCCTGACCTCAGTGTCCTATAAGTTACTGTTATGAATTTTAAGTCTTTAGAATTCAAAGAAAACTTCAGTTTATGAGAGTTAAAGTGAAACGTGTAAAACCTCCAGATAATCAGGTACCACATGTTCTGGCACTACATGTGAAAACTCGCGGGGCATTTAAGCACAGACTTGTGAGAGTAAGATGCAGAATAGCAGTTGTGCTTTCTGACCAGACTTGCAAGCAGGATCCTGGGGGAGGTGGTTGGCTTCATTCTTGTGCTGGGTGAGATCTGGGTAGGAGGGCAGGAGTGCTTTCACCAGTGAGCCTTCCTTCCCACATCCCAGCAAGGGAAGGGAAATGCAGCAGGTCAGAGTGATGACCCTCAGACTCTTCATGGGGTGTCCAAAGTGGAAGTGCATTCACCACTGCCCCAGACTGTGTCCTGTTGACCGTTTTGATCAGCACCTGTTCCCCAGGAAGCCTGTTGACAGGCATCCACACCAGCTACAATCAGCCCACCTGTCCCAGGAGCTTCTGGCTTGTAAGCATTTGCTTCAGGGACATGAAGAGAGTGTATGGGTGCATTTTTGCTTAGAAAATTCCTGGGGTATGATGCTGGGAAGAATAGGAGGGGCTTACTTGCTTTGACCTTTCACTTTCTACCATGCATGCACAAGGACTTCAGTGTCATTCAGTTGAAAAATCACGAGGAGAGCTTGTAGAGAGGAATGGGCTTTTAATATTTCTTTATTTATTTTCATCTACTTGAAAGGCAGAGCGATATATATATATAGAGAGAGAGATTTTCTATCTCCTAGTTCACTTTACAAATGCTGGGCTAGGCCAAGGCCAGGAGTCCAGAACCCTATCCAGGTCTCCCAAGTAGGTGGTAGGGGCCAAAGCACTTGAACCATCACCCGTTGCCTCCAGAGATGCATTAGCAGGAGACTGGTTGAAGTCCAGTAGCCTGAACTTGAACCTGCACTCTGATATGCATCCCAGGTGGCAGCTTAACCCATTGTGCCACAATGCCTGCTCCAAGAGGAGTATTTTATTCATTGGAATTCAGGCAAGAGACAGGACAAGGCCATCTCACTAGGTTTGGAATACACCAAGCCAGTCACTGCCCGGAGCCCTCCCTTCACAGTCTGTCTTCCTACATACTTGCCAGCAGCCAGCACACCTGTTGCCCCTGACTCGGGCGTCCACTACACATGCACACACACAACACACACGCACACAGAACAGTCTCCCACACACATCTTTGAGTCCTGTGAGTCCTTTGAGTCCATCAGGTCTTTCCTGTAAGTGGACTTCAAGTGTAAAAATTGGGTGAATAGTGGGATATGTGCCTGTGTAAGGTGTACACCTGTTGGCTCTTCGTACAGGCTGCTGTCTAGGATTCCTGCCCCCCCACCCTGCTATGCCCAAGGGGGTTGCCCAAAGCTGACTGCTCGCAGACAAAGCACTCTTGTACCTGGGGGGCCCCGTGTGGAGGCTGTTTCCGAAGTTTCATGCCCTTGTCAAGTGGGTTTGATTACATCACCACACCTGACATTGATCTGAGAAGAAACTTTCTTTGCTTCTAAAAATGCTTTCATCACTCATTCGTTTTTCTTCCCAAAAAGTATTGTTGAGTGCTTATTCTGCATAGGTGTTCTTTTTCGTAAAAGTATTTATTTATTTATTTATTTATTTATTTGAAGGGCAGTTTTACAGAGGGAGAGAGAGGAAGGGGGGGAGGGAGGGAGGGAGAGAGAGAGAGAGAAAGAGAGAGAGAAAGTCTTCCATCCATTTGTTCACTCCCCATGTAGCTGCAATGACCAAGGCTGAGCCAGGCCAAGGCCAGGAGGTTCATCTAGGTCTCCCACATGGGTACAGGGGATCAAGCACTTGGGCCTTCCCAGGTGCATTAACAGGGAACTGGATCAGAAGTGGTCCAGCAGAGCTGGAATTGGCACCCCATATGGGATGCTGGCATCGCAGACAGTGGCTTTACCCATTATGCCACAACACTGGTCCCACAGGTGCTCTTCTAAGCTCCATGGGTTTCTAGTTATCTAAAGTCATGGTGTGGGGCAGGTGTTGCGGTGCAGCAAGTTAAGCCACTGCTTGGGACACCAGCCTCCCAAAGCAGAGTGCCAGTTTAAGTCCCAGCTACTCTGCTTCTGATGCAGTTTCCTGCTAATGCATCCTGGGAGGCAGCAAGTAATTGCTAAAGTCTTTGGGCCCCTGCCACCCCAATAGGAGACACTGATGGAGTTCTGGGCTCCTGGCTTCAGCGTGGCCCTACCCTTGCTGTTGGGGGCATTTGGAGAGTGAACCAGTGGGTAAAATCAATCTCTCTCTCTCTCTCTCTCTCTCTCTCTCTATCTCTATCTCTCTGTTGCTCTGCCTTTCAAGTAGATGAAAATAAAACAAGCATTATAAAAACTAGGATCAGGGTGGTGGCATCACTAGAAAGAACTGGGCTTTGGTAGTCCTGCAGCTGGCAGGGCCCAAGAAGGACAGAGAAGAGGTCCCAGCTGCTACTCTTCTCACTAGCAACTCAGCTGGACATGATTTCCCCACCTGGAAATTAAAGGCAATGAGTTTGTTAAGGATCCTAAAGACCCATCCAGTACATTCATCTATGTAATTCTTTGTTATATAATTTTAGTGCAAGCCTCTACTCTTTTGTGTCTCAGTTTCCCCACTCATAATACAAGGAGAATGGCAGTACCTCGTCCCAGGACCATGGAGGGTGGCAGAACTTCTGTGTGTAAAGCAACTGGGACAGTGCCGAGCACATCCCCGCAGTCATCAGCTTCATCGCCATCATTATTCACGTTAAAATCATTCTGTCCTTTGATATACACTGACTGTGAGTAGTGCCAACAGTCTTCCAGGAGCTAAAGATATTACAGTAAAGAAACCCCACCTCTGTCTTTGTAGAGTTTCAACTCTAGGAGAGATGACAGGCAAGTGCTTATATAGCACGGGGGACAGTAGTGAGTACTGCAGGTGCTGCAGGGACAGGGAAATGGGATCAGTGAGACAGAGACTGTTGAGGTGGCAGGCAGAGAATCTCACTTTGGACAGAGGCCTTACGAGCCCCTGCCTCTGATATCTGATGGAAGAGTGTTCTGGGAAGAAGTGCAGAGTTGCAGGGGTGAGAGTATAGTTTGCAAGTCCACAGAAGAGTGAAGAGGCCACCGTGGCTGCAGCAGGGTAGTGAGCCATAGCGGCCAAGGTTGAGGTCTGATATACTGGGGAGGAGTGGGAGAGAGAGCTGCAGATCTCCCAGCACCTTGTGTTAAGAACTCGACTTTCACTCTGAGTAAAACAGGAAATTCTGTGGAGGGTTTTTGAAGAGACAAAAGACATGATAGAACTTTTGTTTGTTTGTTTGTTTGTTTTAAACTCACTTTAGCTTCCATGTTGAGTTTGAATTATAAAGGAGAAAAGGTCAAAGCAAGGCACCCAGGCGAGAGATGGTGATGATGCCTTTGACTAGGGTGGTGGCACTGGATTCATCCTAAAGTTATTTTATTCTATACGCTTTAATGCTTTTAAAAAATATTTGCTTTTAGAAACCTACAAACATTCGCATCGCATCTCTCTAGGAGCCTTAATAGCAATTAACTTGATAAAACCCCAGGCACACAGTTTGTTAGGTGGCAGCATTCTAGCGACGGAATGGAACTGGATGCCCCCAAACCTTGGCTGCCGCAAGAAACTCAGCCCGCCCTGAGCTGCTGTTTCCTGGCTGAGTGATTCAAGTCTCCAGGGTTATCAGCCCAGTGAATTTCATAAGCCTTTCATCCACTTAAAAAATTAAATTAAAAAACAAGGTTATGCAAATGAAAGGCTCCAGCTGTCGAAATTTCCAGATGGGCCGTTGTTTTCATGGATTCTGTTGAAATCCCAGTTCTTTCCCCTCGTGGCCCTTAGTTTCTATCTTAAAAGACTTGGAAACATTAATCTTGTTTAAGAAATATTTAAGTTACCTAATGAGTTTTTTTTAGGAAAGGTATTTTCC